ACAGCACATGCACGCAAGCGAGCCGAGAGATGGCAAATGCCACGCTGCTTCCTCCCTCTGAAATCTGAGCCCCACCTCCCTGAGGTCAACCCGCATCTGGTCATCCTTCAGGGCCCGGCTGGGTGCTCCCTCTCCCGGTGGCTTTGCAGAGGTCTACAGCAGAAAGGTCTGCACCTGCGTTTCAGCATCTGCAGCCTTTGCCTCTCTCGCGTGGCCTGTGGCTCTTTCATCCCAGCGTGGTGTTATGATTTCTTTCCCCACTACACTGGGAACTTCTCGTGGGAATACCCTCAACGCAGGATTCTGCTCGGTCCCTGGAGGAGTGCCATAGATTGGGAATGAATGAATGAATGGTCGTGCTCGTGAGCAGAAGAGCCCTGACTTTAGGAGGGTGAAGGGCACCCCCTTGCTTGCCCTGGGCCTGCCCCCGGGGCCGCTCCAGAAACTGGAGTCCGTTCTGGAGCCTGCGAATGCCAGAGCTCTTTGACTTGAAGCTTGGTTTAAATATTTACAGAACCTAATAAATTGATTAAAGGAAGTGCTGAGGACAGCAACAGTGATTATTAATAAATCATAGCAATGATTATTTTCCTTTCAAGCACCTCAATTGGCCTTATAAGTAATATCTGTGCGATTGATCAGCTGGGGAAAAACCAGGGCTGCTTGGCAGCTTAAGTAGCATTTGCAAGAAGTGCCTCCTGGGGGAGGGGCTGGAGGGGGCCTTTGCAGGTGGGACCCTCAGGGGTGCCTGCATCTGCTGAAATGGAGACCAGCCCCAGCTTCCTGCCTAAGGAGGAGCCCAGCGCCCTCTCCCCAGTGGACGTGCTCTCTGGCCAGCTCTCTCCTTACCTGCCGCTTGCAGGACGGCTCGTGTCCAGGGCATGAGGGCACAGAATGCACCCACCTTCTTTGTCTTGCCTCGTTGAGGCCAGTCCCACAGTCAGCCACACAGTCACTGATTGTACAAGTGTGTAGGCTCCTGCCCTCTGCCAGGTCCAGCAGCCACGGTCCTGTGCCCAGGGTGCTCAGCCTTCCTGGGGCGGACACACCCGGAAAGTGAGCACCTCCACAGACAGTGCCCAGCCCCAGGACAAAAGGCTCAGTGGCACTCAAGTGAGTCCAGCTGCACTGATGAGTCACCAAGGTTTTTTGAGCCCCTAACATATGCCAGCCCCATGTGGGATGCTGTCAGGGGTGTGGAAGGAAGGGTGGGTGCATTCTTGCTCCTAGCAGCACTCATGACTCATGGAACGAGCCAGCTTCAGGCCCTGTTGTACTAGAAGATAAGAGACGGAACCAGGAATGTAGCCCTGGAATATTCCATGACTTCAGTCCCCACTGAAGACCCCAGAGGGTGCTCCACAAACATCTGTGGAAGAACAGAAGGTTCTCAGCAGCCCTTGCAGATTCCCTGAGGAGAGGAAAAGGAGAATTTGAGACTAGACCGTGGAGACATGCGCTCACCCACCAGCTCCAGAGAATCCTCACCCAGAGGGGCACCGCTGCCTGCCGAGTCCCATGTTAGCAATCTCAGCCAATCATAAAACAAAAGCACAGACACTGGCAACTTCGTTTTACTAGAGATTCTTAACCCATTAAAGGAATTTTAGAGATGAGCAAATTGAGACGCATAGAAGAAAACTCAGTACCTGAAGGGACGCACCTGTCCCCTCACCCCCCCTCAATCCTATGCCAGATTCCACCAGAAAACTGGAGTCCTGGTAGGTAACCCTTGTCTCATCACGGGCACCATCTCCGCATCCCCAGGGCCTGCCACAGCCCGGACTGGAAAGGGTCAGCAAGTGCCTGCTGAGTCCAGCCTTGCTCCAGCCTCCAGATGGCTTGAGACAGGGGGAGGGAACGGAGGGGGAGGGGGAGGGGCAGCAGAAAGGCCCCTTGATGCCGCTGGGTCCCATCGGGCACAATTACCACCTGCCTTGCCTGGCAGGGCATTTCTTGCTAGTCTGTGTCCTCCACACAGGGCTGCTGAGTTGGCAGAGGGGCTGCACAGACCCGGGACGAGGTGCTTCGGGCGCCTGGAAATGGAAGGGCAGGCTTTCTGGGGCTGCAGGAAGACTTGTAGGGAAGGACGGAGGCTGCTGTGGACAGGGGAAGGGGGCCGGAGTGACTGTGGACCTCCGGGACTCCAGCGACTCCTCCCGCCAGGGGGCCATCAGTCAAATGGGCAAAGGGAGCAAGCAGACCTTTCACAGTCAGCGGAAGCCTATGCAAAGGTGTTCCACCTGATTCATAATCCAAATCCAAAAGGGATGAGCTAAGACAATAGCTACTTGCCATTTTATACCTACTCAATCGTGCAGGCAGGAATATGCAAATTATAATATTTGTGTTGGTGGCTATGGAGAAAGACACACCAGTGTAATTGTGTAGTGTGACACAGCCACACACCGTCTTTAGAAGGCGAGGTGTAATGACACCTAGAGAGACAGGGGCCATAGATTGTCCAACCCCTCTGCCCCCCAAGCGCACTGCTGGGAGCCCGGCTTCAGGAAACAAATTCTGCATGGAGGCGCCTACTGCACCATGTCCATCATCCCAACCATCATTGCCACGGTAGCCAGTGACTGGACACCTCGTGTGTGCGGAGCACGCTGCCAGACGTGGCTGTCTCCCTTCCTCTAGCTGACCCTGCAGAGTGAGGTATGGCTGTCCTGTATGGGCCCAGTTTGCTGATCGGCAGACTGAGGCCCAAAGAGTTCACAGAGCTGGCAATATCCCAACCCAAGCCTTAGTCCAAAGCCTATATTTCTTCAACTGGGCCCCATTGCCTCTTCAACTAACTCACTAGCATTGGAAAGAATGTGAATGCCCAGCAATGTGGGACTGTCTAGGTAATGGGTGGTATATCAGTCGCGGGGATAAACAGCCACAGAAATAAAGGAGAGACGCACACTCTAAACGTGGGCACAGGGACCAGGCCCAGCAGAGAGATGGGAACAAAAGTGCAGATCAGTCTAAACACAAGATCGAGTGAAGCTCAACCCCAGTTCAGGGTGTGCCAGGCTGCCCGGAAGGAGCTGGCTGTGCAACCCACATGACTCCCTGGTTTGCTTCCCTTTAGTCTCTGAAACAAACCCACCTCCCTCAGGGATCGCCAACCCCGCTTCAGTGTGCCGGGGCGAGCCCGGAAACAGCCCACTTCCTCTCTAGGCCAAACACGGCCGAGGCGAGGCTGGCACATTCCATACCAACCTCACTAACAGCAGAGGGCTGGCAGCGGGGAATCACGGCTGAGCGGGTGAGGACCTCATGGCCCCACCTGTGTGGCTGGTGGTACCCACAGAGCCGTCATGGCTACCTGGGTGCCAGAGAGAAGAGATGATGCAACCAGTGAGCCTTGCTGCTGTCCATGAGTAGACCCTTCCAGAGCAGGGGCCCATGTCAGAAGGGTAGATTCAGGATTACACTCGGGGCCGCATGACACTCGAGGCAGAGCTGGGAACCACCAGGCTATAAGGTGTCCCCAGATGCCATCTGAGTGTCATGTTACACTTAATGTCATGTCAAGATATAAACATGCCTAAAAATAAGGGCATCCTTAAGTACCCTATGATGTTTGGCCGCCATGCCTTACATCCATTCCCTGCCCGAACGCTGACGAGGGACACACGTGCAGAGCTGGTAAGACGCCACTCCCTCCCAATCCCACCTCTCAGTCTAGAGGGCAGAAAGGCGACCACACAGATAATTACCAGCCTTGGGCCCTGTGTCCTGGGCGGTGGGGGAATGACCGTCCAGAGAGATTCAGAAGGAAGGTCGCATGGAGGAGGTGTCACTTGAGCTGGATCTTGAAGGATGAGTAGGAGCTCTCCATGCAGCCATGGCTGAGGGTTGGCTGGGTGAGGAATGGAAGAAAGGTCCAAGCTAGTGGGACAGTGTGGGCGGAGGGGAGGACAGACTTAGGAACTGCAGTCACTGGTGTAGCAGGAGGTGCTTACACACACACACATGCAGAATCACAGGTACAGTGCAAGAACCATGGGTCACAGGGACCGTGCATTCCAATCAGAAGTTAGGATCTGTGGTCTAAGAATTACAAATATGATTACGTTTAAACTCAGAATTGTTCCTCCAGAGTCCCAGATGACCCCTCCTAGTGACCACTGTAGCAATGTCCTCATTACTGGCCACCAGGAGGAGAGGAGCCTCCCCAGGGACAAAGGAGAGAGAAGGGTGGGAAGCACAGAGGGGAGGGGTGGGGCGGAGGGACGAGAACTCAGTCATCTCTGTGGAGGGCTGTGCCAGCCCTGGCAGGGTGTCGCTCGGCAATGTCAGCTGGAGGGAGAAAGGGCCCAGCAGGGCTCAGGACACTCAGAGGTAGGACTGCTGGCCCCATGTCCCCCAGGGAGCCACCAACAAGTCACCGTAAACAGCTGAAGTAGAGGCTGTCCAGGCACACACTGCGGGATGGTCCCAGGGCAGCAACAAGGAGGCGTTGGGGGGTCTGACTCCCCCAGAGGACAAGGGCCAAGCAGAAACCAGGGAGGGGGTCTGGATGGGACCAGCTTCCTCTGGACCTGAGGAACAGAACCTGTCAGAATGTGAGAGCTAGGAGGACCCGGATTTTCATCTGTTTCTTATTTCACTGCTTTTTGCCCTGGAAAACGGCAACAGTTCCTGGCATAGAGTAGGTAGTCAATATTAACAGTGACTGAATCAGTAAACAAACAGATCGCTGAACAGCTGGATGGGTGGATGGCTCCATGGATGGAAAAACCTGGAGAAATGGAGATCCCAGGAGCCAGAGACAGAGCAGAAACCCCTCAGGCAGGCAGGCTGTGTCCCCCCACCTTGGGTGGGTCACCTCACCGCTGCTGCTGAGGGGCTCCAGCCCACGCCCCCTCAAGCCCAGGGGGACATAGGCCCAGTGCGCTTACACTCCTGCGTCAGCCGCAGGGCAGCTGGCGCCCCAGGGCAGGGCAAGGACTGACAGCAGGCGTGCCCGTCTCCACGCTCACGGTGTGTGTCTTGGCTTGCAGCCCGCTCCAAAAGCCTGGTGATGGGGGAGCAGAGCCGGAGCCCCGGGCGGCCGCCGTGTCCCCACGGCGCCGGCCCCGTGCTGAAGGCCGGCTGGCTGAGGAAGCAGAGGAGCATCATGAAAAACTGGCAGCAGCGCTGGTTCGTGCTGCGCGGGGAGCACCTTTTCTACTACAAGGACAAAGAGGAGACCAAGCCGCAGGTGAGAGTCGCGCGTGCTGTGTCCCACGGGCCCCACGGGAAGGTGGACTGTGCCCACGTCCCCAGTGTCACAGCTCGTTTACTGAAACACGCCCGCAACTCCCGGACTGGAAACCTTCCTTGCGATGCCAGTAGAGAGCGTTCCCGCGCAGCTTAGGGAAACGACTCTTGACCCGGGGTCTTTGCAGCTCCTTGGGGCTTCCCAGAAGGACACACGTGCACACATTTCGTCACTTTCATCGTGCAGGAAAATGGGTCCCCCGGCAAATCCAGCCTCAGACCGCGAAGCCCGTGTCTGCTGCCTCCAGCAGGGCTCGCACCGGCTTCCGCTTCCCACCGGCCCTGGGAGACCCACCTCGGGCGCCTCAGAGGCCTGCCTTCCACGCGCACCGCCCTGAGCGCACACGCTCCGAGCAACCGGTCGCTCATCCCCACGGCATGGGCCGGTCGCGCTGCGCCAGGCAAACGCTGTGCTGACGTGCCCTGCGTGTGGCCACCCAGACAGCCGCCCGGCAGCACCTGGGCAAGCCAGTCCCCGGAATGGGTTTCAGGGAGAGAAGGGCTATCTCTTGGGGGAAAATGGGGAAAGGACCTTAGAGGACTTGTTCCAAAGGCAGCTCTTGGTCCAGGCGCTGGATCAGACGGGAGTCAGCAGCCGGGAGGGCGGGGCCTCGTGCGCATCGCAGGTGTCCGGCAGGGTAGGCGCAGAGAGGGTACGCGGAAATGGGTAAGGTGTGAGGAGGGGCTTGGGCGCGACAGAATGTCCCTTTCTCTCTTCTTTCCATCCTTCTGAGCACGTCGAGGACGAAGCGTCAACCCTGGGAGCGTGTCTCTAATGCATCTCCCACACTTGTGATCCTTCTTTTAGAACAATTATGGGGACAGGGTGGAGAGGGGAGCTGGCCTCATCTCAGAGCCTTCAGTGCACAGGAACTGTCTGCGCGTTAACACCTTCCTGCCCCCACGCTGTTCATGCCAAAGCTCACCTCGGCGCGTGGGAAAGCAACCCGCCCCCAACCAACAAAAGGAACCCCGCAAAAAAAGCCCCAACCTTAACTTTTCCTTCCGAAAAAAGCCCCGCCGCAGTAAAAACAAGGGGTCCCCAAGGACGTCGGCGTACCTAAGACCACTGAACCGTATACTTAAAAAGGGTTACAGCAGTAAACTTTGTCTTATACACATTTTACCACAATAAAAATAAATAAAAAGTGAAACTGCTTAAGAAAAACTTTTACACAAATAAAGCACAGACGAAAGGTGGGCACGACCAAAATCATGAAGGTGGGGCTAAGCTAAAGTTTAAAAAACGCTGCTGCTGCCTGGCCTCCGTGGTTTTGTAAGGAGGGGGAGAGGTCAAGTTAAACAGATAGGAACTCTGAGTCAGAGAGGTCTGAAGTCAACCGAGCCCGCTGGCTGTGTGGCTTGGGGCAGTTACTTGATAACGTCACTGTAGGTTTTGTCATTCGTCGAATGGAGACAATATTACTTCCGTCACAGGGAGGCACTAGGGGTTAAATCGTCCAGCATATACATAACCGCGTGCAAAGCCTGGCACACTGGGCACTTAAATCCGAGCCTGCAGCTCCCCCAGCCCTGCCCTGCACCGGCCCTGCCCCCCAGCCCGCCCCAGGCCAGGCGCCATGCCCCTGGGTGCCCACCTCCACTTGCCTCTGGCCTCTGTGTTTTGTGTTGCAGACCAGCCTCCGCCCATCAACAGTGTTCTGGCTTTCCTGGCTGACCTGTTGGTGACCTGTCATTCTGATGACAGTGACCAAAGTTGCTGGGGTCCCCAGCCTGTTCAAGCCCTGCCTGGGGCCCTGCTACCACCCTCCTCCTGGCCCAGGCCACAGTGCTGCCTGCTGGGGGCACTGTATCCTGGTGCCGGGTGAGACCAGGTGCAGTGACACACAGGACACCCAGGCCACACATGGACAGGGCCTCCTCTGCTGCAGGCGTCCCCACATACTCCTCATGGTGAGCCCCGAGCCCCATCAGCTGTCTCCATGAGGAACCTCCATCCCCAGAATTCCTGAACCAGACACTCCTCTCCCTCACCTGCAGCGTTTCCCAGACCCCAGTGGTTCCTGGCAGAAGCTACTAATAAAACGGAGGCATTGGTATCCCCAGCCACTGGACTGGACACAGAGCAGCCCTCAGGCCCGACCTAAACCGGAACAGGGCACTCACTGCCGGAGAGTAGGGCAGCTCTCAGAAAGGAGCCAGCATCTCCCAGCAGATGCCAGCCTCCGCCCCGGGCTCTTGTGGCACTCACTCCCAAAGCCTCTTGGACATTATAACTTCCCCTAATTTCCTCTTCCCAGCAAAGCCTGACTGCTATGGCAGCCCCCTGGCTCAGGTTCCCAATCTCAAGGGGACTGTTGGTCAATTTTGATTCATTCAGCTTATACAGTATGATCTCAAACTTGCAGGGCTGCTGGCAAAAAAGCCCCACAAATTTCTATTTAATTGCATGAACTACATGTAATGGGCTAATTCTCAATATCTGGTTCCTGGAAAAATATGCCCTGCTCACTGTCCACAGTGACAGAGTGCCGAGGCAGTCAGCACCCTCCTGCTGGATGCCCGCACCAGAGCAGTCGTCGGGGAGAGAGACGTCCAGCCACCCTGACGCTGCCCAGGGCCCACGGCACAGGATGAGGGGCGCGCTCAGCCCACATTCCTGCTTCTCTCTCCAAAGCCCTTGTCTCTTCCCCTCTCCCCTTCCCACTGGCAGCGGTGGGCAGCAGACAGAGAGCACAGAGGTGAGGAAAACCCAGGGCGGAGAAAGAGGAAGTGGCTGACACAGCACAGGCAGGGAGAGCAAGCAAAGGCGCCGTACAACACAGCCTGAGCACGCCCTTGTTCCCCCAGAGTCTCCCAGGACACGTCCCCGAGGGTTTCCAGCAGGTAGAATAATATAGGGTCACTAATAAAGGGTTCTAGGCTTTTTGAACCTTAGTGATTTCAAACCTTGAAATGTTGAGCCATGAACACTCCTGCCATGTTCTTTGCTAATCAGGCTGGTCCATGTCCATGGTTTGCAAACTCTCTGTAAGTACAGTTGTCTCAGTCCTTTGTTTGTGGGCTTGTTGGTTTTGAACAGAAATGCAACAGAATAGAAAGAAAGCATAACTTCCAAAACATGACAGGAAAAAATGTAACAAATTACTTGTGATCCATCAACAAACAGGGAGAAAATGGGGGGAAGGAACAAACAAGAGAGAAAGGTAAGAAATAATATGGCCAAAGAGGGTATGAACATTTCAGCTGTCACAACAAACATGCACAGGTGAGATTCATCTGTCTCTGGAAAGACACAGTGGGAGAATGGGTCTAAAAAGAGAGCAGAAAAAACAGACTGAAAAACAAAAGAACGAACAAAAAAGATAAGACAGTAAATGCGAGGAAAAGGAAAGAAAATCCAACAACATTAAATAAAATAGAATTTAAGGTGATAAGAACAGAAGGGAACAAAGAGACACGTTTAAGATAACATTATAGATAACCTCTTGAGAAAACATAGCAGCCACGAACTTTTATGCTCCTAATGACATAGCTTGGAAGAATACATAAACAAGGAAACAAAGAATACTCACTGTTTTCTTTTTTAAAAAAAAAAATTTGTTCAAAATATGAAATCATAGAGACACAATCACTGATAATAATGCAAAAGAAAAAACAACAGAAACGAATAACAGAATGGCACAGAGAGAGGGTGTGGTGCCCGACAGAGTGGGATCCACGACGGGAATCAGACACACACACAGTTTGTAAGACGTTCCCGGTAAATGGGAAAAACGAAACTCAAATCCACACTTCCAGTTAAGGACGTCAGACTTAAAAACCACATTTGGCTCCTCCATGTCCCAAAACGCCAGGAAACAGCACTAAAGGGAGGTGTTTGAAAGTGTAAGCACACCTGGATGGGGGGAGCAGGGCAGGCGGCACTCTGGACACTGTGGGGCAGGCGGCAAAGACGGAGCCGGTCGTTTAGCCGACCCAGGAGAGCCAGAGGCCGAGCCTGGACCAGGGAGAGCGCAGAGCTGTCTGGTTTGCGAGGCAGAACTCTCGAAGCCGCAGGACTTGGCAGGAGCTGACCTCTGGAAATGCAGACAAAAGAGGACCCCAAAAACAGGAGCACCGGGTGAAAGTCAGTTTAAAAAGCAGTTAGATCTCAGATCTTCCGAACAACCTCATGCCCAGAGGTGACGGCCACCCCCTACTCGGGTGTGAGACTGGAGGTCTGTTCCCTGGGAAGGGTGAGAAGCAGGCACTTCAGACTGGGAAACGGGCCCCATTCTTGCTGGGAGTCCCACGCTGAGAACAGGAGGGCGAGGTGAAAGTCTGTCTGCAGAACAGTTGCTTAACCCTTAGCCTTCATCCACATCAGGGCTCGGCAGTCAGGAGCAGCCCCCAGGAAGGAAACTGAAGAATTTTCTAGGGCTCCCCAGTGAAATGGCCCAGGCGAACCCTCCTCCGTACGCCCACCAAGGAAACAGCTCCCGTCCCCTGCTCACACGCCGCGCAGTGGCTCCTTCGGGAACCGGTCCCAAGTAGGAGGAAAGGGCCTGGGTCGCCAGACATTTAAGGAAAGAATCTCATACGAAGGACAGAGACAAAAACAGGAATAACACAAAAAGCAAGTGGGAGGAAGCAGAAGCTATGCGGGGGAAGAACACTTCTATACAAAACTACTCTAACATCCTCGAAGAGAGACTGAATGTGGAATAGTCAGAGGACAAGCCAGCTCCCAGGAGTCACAAATAAGATACCAGGAATGAAAAGCTTTAAAAGAAGGATTGGATGAAAAACCTGAAGCTCCCAGGAAGAAGAGAAAAATAACAGAGAAGGAAATAGGGAGAGAACCCAATGTCTGAATGGAAGAAACTGAGAAGAGAGGACTCAAGGGAAAGGAGTCTTTAGAGAAATGTCTCACAGAACTTCCGGGAGGGGAGTATAAACCGAGCACTGACTGATAAAACCAGAATCGCTGTGGAGCTT